CGTCCACGCCCCTACGGCGGACAGAAGCTTTCGATGCCGGGGTATCGTGTACGCAGCGGACTTACGTCTATGTGTTACCCTTGAGTGTCATGTTTTTTGATAATGGTGGGCCTGGGGTGCGCCCCACGACCCCGACATATACTTGTAGTGGGACCACACCGAGCAATCAGCACGTAAGGGATGTGGACCCAAGGTGGAGGGAGGTGGCAAAAGATATTAAGATGATGTTCCGTGCGGTTCTCAGGCAGGATGGTGACGAGGTCACCCATCTTCCGAGAAGTTGGAACAATTTTGGTGGCCCGCAAACCTCCAGGGAGCATGATTCTCAGTGTGCGACGTTCCATGGAATGCTGCACAAGTTCAAGCTCTCCCGTCTCGTTGCTTCGTGCGGTGAGTTTGCGATTCTGCGCATTTCATCTGGCGACTTCTTTCCAGAACAGTGCCGCAAGTTGGTTGCGGCAGCTTTATGTGTTCACCGCGGCTGGCTTCCGCCAGACTTTTTATCCACAGCCACCCGCCCAGACGTGGTGCTGAGTATTCCTTCGGCGCCTTCGCACGCCATTTGCTTGGAGGAGTGCCGCTTCTTCCACTGGGAGCGAAGCAATGGTGAGGGTCGATTATCGAAGACGTCTGCGGCGAGTCACCGCCGCCCCGTGACCCTATTGAAAGGTAAGGCATTGCCCGCTTTGGCCGCCTTCGTGCGATCTTGGGGGTATGCTGGGCCGTCTATCTCAAGATCGGCAAGGCCAGAACGTTCAAATCTTTCAAGCACCTTCCGAGCATTATGCCATTCCGTCTTGCGAAGTCTCCTGCGCTCTCTTGGACCGTTGTCGGTGCGGCTTGGGAGACTCTTGGGCCGTCTTGGGCCACCTCGCGGCTGTCCTGGGGCAGATTGGGGCCATCTTGGCCGTCTTGGGGACGTTTTGTGACCCTCTGGGAGCCCCTCTTAGAGCTTGGAGGCCCATCTTAACCATCTTGGAGGCCCTCTTGGAGCTGTCCTTGGCGGAGGGGCCTTCGAACGGCCGCTTCTACGCGCCCTCGCGGACTCCTCTGGGGCCGGTGGCGGGACGGGCCGAGAGACAGTGGGAACGTCTTGGAAGGGCCACGGCGATTGACACCCCCAGGCGCCCCCTTTGTAGCAAAGTGCAGGGCGTGGCGGATCGAAGGCGCCTGCGGCGGATCGCCGCCGCCGCCTGCCTTTCTGGACATGCCGACGCGGCCAAACGGTGCGACAGAGCTCGGCCACGCCATTATGCTATGTGTTTCCTCGGCCGTCGTGGGAACCCTTGGGGGAACACACGGTGAAGGGAGAGGCAGGACGAGGAGGGGGAGGAGAAGGACAAGGCGGATGAGGCTGATGAGGCTGCCGACCATTCTGCTGATGCTGATGCTGCTGCTGCTGCTGATGCTGCTGCTGCTGCTGATGATGATGATGCTGATGATGATGATGATGATGATGATGATGATGATGATGATGATGATGATGATGATGATACTGCTGATGCTGGTGATGATGATGATGGCGGTGGTGGTGATGGTGATGTTGATGGTGATGGTGATGGTGCTGATGCTGATGCTGCTGATGATGCTGCTGATGCTGATGATGCTGCTGGTGATGCTGATCATCGATGATTATGCTCCTGCCGCTGATGTTGACGATGATGATGAGTAGGCGACCAGTGTAAACCCACGACGCATCAACGATGCTGCAATGCACCCTCCCTCCAAGTTCTCCTTTCATAGCTCCCTACCAGCATGTTTATTCGCTGCGGGAGATGACCCATTGGGGACGACCGTCTGAGAATCCGGAATCATGTCAGAACATTATTCCTGGGACTTCAACGCCGCGAACCAATGTGACTGTTGCGTCCTGACAATCCCTAATCATGCCAGAGCGCCACCCCTCTGGCTTCAACATCGCGAATCCATGTGACTGTTGCGTCCTGATAAATCATGCCATGGATGCGCTCGGCGCTAAGGCTAGGGCCATATGTTGAACACGTGCTACCCTCCATCCTTGGAGCTGTTGCAAATTCCATGTCGCTGGATTGTGAATAGCGGTGGAGTCTTAGGCGAAACGCACGCCCCGCACAGCCACTATGTTCGTGGGGTTGTCAGGGAGGAGTTATTAACGGGGGCAGGGGTGGAGAAGGAGGAGGAGAAGGAGAAGGAGGAGGAGGATGCGGCTGCGGCTGCGGCTGCGGATGCGTATGCTGCTGCTGCTAATGATGATGCTTATCACGATGATGAGGATGCTGCTTCTGATGATGTTGATGATGGTGATGATGGCGATGCTGATGATGATGATTATGATGTTGACGATGCTGATAGTGATGCTGATGTTGTTGTTGGTAGTGTTGTGGCTGGTGTTGCTGGTGTTGCTGATGATGATAATGCTGATGCTGACGCTGCTGATGATGATACTGATGATACTGATGATGATACTGCTGATGACGATGCTGATGATGACGATGATGCTGATGATGATGATGCTGATGCT